CCTTTTTCAACAAAAAATCTTTGCTTATCGCTAATTTTATCCAGTTTTTACAAACAGCATTGAAGCCCTTTGATATTCTTCAAACTTCAGCGTTTTCCAAGTTTACGAGCAAAAATAATGGCAACTAATTAATATTAGGTTGATGTAAATATGCTATGCAATGCTGAAAACGTTTCTAAACCCCATTGGCTGCAATGGACCTGCGATGTTTTGCGTGAATCAGATATAATTATGGATATGTGTGTTTTGGCTTGAAACATGAATTTTTCCAATAATGTTTTACAGGAATATGTGGTATTCTGCGTGAAAGTGAAGGCTTTATACAACGTAAGTAATCGAGAAGATAAAAAATGAGCTGTTAACTCCAATTTACAAATTTTGTGACTTGCGGAACTTTGTTTGGCACCTCTTCATTAATTACAAGCAGTTTTCAGTGAGAGCGCGTTTATTAACGGGTGTTAATTTTTCAAAAAAATGAGGCCTCAATGTTCATTAATATGTATTTAGTTATGAGCCACCGGGTATTTACGATATATTAATTAAGCTTTGTGTCGTAATTCAAGTACCAAACTTTTCTTACGTAATATAAGACGAAGAGAGAAGTTGGGCTAAAATTTCTTCAGCGAGTAGTTTAACACGTGATCTTGGGACTTTTTCCTGGACAATGTAAGAAAATCCACACATTTTTAGCTACCAAAATTACCCAGTTGGCCTCTATTTGGCAGCAAAAAGCGTTCTGTTTTTCTCAACAGAACGCTTAAAACGGTTAAGATGAGAGGTATTTTTAAATAAGTTTTTCTGACTTCATTTCATAGCTTTCTAAAATCCACTCAGAGCACAGATACCAATTTTAAATCACCTTCCAAACCCTATATGAGAAGCGGAAGGTATTTTACAAATTGCAAAATATTTGGAATATTGCGGGTAAACACTCGCAAAACTGAATTTTCCAATTATTATGAGCGTCATTTATGAATCATTACGGTTAAAAAAATTGCTTTTCATGTTGCCTATTACAAAAAGCCGACCACGTTTAAGCTGTTTAAACCGCTGGATGGAATGCGTAGTAGAATCGGGAATAGTGTTTTTATTTACTAGTCAAATATTTATGGGAACCGCAAAATAGAATAGTGAAAGCCGTTCGATACAATTTAACGTAAAACATTAAACCAACACAAACGCCATTAAATGTTAACGTGCCCGTTTTGTATGTGCTGGGCTTTCGATCCCAACATATGTATTAATCTCATTCCATTCGATTCCACACTTAATTGAATTTGCAACAAAATCCAAGCGGGACACTAATAATTTGAAAATTATATTCAGCATGGTTTTGTTGAACTAATTTTATAGACTATTTGGTTTTGATTATTGCAGATGATCTAATTAGGGAAGCCAACAGTGGGTAATAGAATCAGCACTTCTTTCTGATTCTCTCTGCCGTGAGTCGAACTTCAATCTCGCCTTTGATGTATTGTACGGTTTATTCCAGAGGAATATTGTTCGATTTTCAAGTGCAATGATAAAGTTTTTTAGATTTTCCGCACAAGCCGTTGAACACGCGAAAAGACATATACAAGGAAACTATTTCCTAATTAGTTGAAGTATTCCGCCAAAATTCACAATGGCGCGCTTTCACCTTGGTAGAATTTTCACTCTCCTGGAATTTCGCCTTTAAATTCAAGGGAGGCACGCAACTATTTGTCGAAAGCAACATTGTAAGACAACTCCATCGGGCTCTGACGAATGCCTCAAGTTATTTTCGCGCTTCGTTTGACGGCAAACATTTTGAAGCATGATGGGATTTCACGTCCGACTTGGTTTATTCAAATTTCGTGGGGGGATAAATCGTCCACAGTCGTCATTAGGTAGAAAAAACAACCGAACAGGACGGTGCGAAAATATTGGAACAGTACGGAAGATATCTTTGTTTTATTGAAATGAGCCGAAAACCGGGCTTTCGAACACTGTTATCATATTACAGTTAATTAGCCCCTCTGGGACAGCTGCAGAGCTCTGATGGTTTATTTTTCACGTTTCACTGATGGAAAATATGAGACGACAAAAACAAATAACCACAGTGATGTTCGAAACCAGTCAGAATTTTTGATTGTGTTTACGTACCTAAAGTGTATCTTTAAAACACTTCAGTCAGCTCACATCGCTTAATGCTCGATTTAAATGTTTCCGCCTATGTTCATTCCTGCATCAAATTCGCAACTGGTCCCATCAGATCTACGCGAAATGCATCTGAAAGGGCCCACTTAAAGCCCATTAATTAAAAAACCGAAAAAATAACCAGCCGGTATTATACGAGGTGTAATTTCTCACACGTCCAGGCTATTAGGGTGTAATCGGTTCCCTGTTAAATCCAGATCGTGTGGAAGCTAAATTTTCATTCAAATCAATCACCCACAATAGACAGCTTTCATGCGAATGGGTTCCCTTCGTCCAGATTGAACACGTTTAATATCGAAAATAGGGACCAAGGTAATTTATTCACCATTGTTCGACTGCTGTTATAATGAAATCAGAAAATTGCGTGGTAAACTTTCAGTTCGAAACCACCTTTAAACTTACTCAATTGTTCCTAAAACGCCTATTATTTGAGTGTTTTCCATTTATTTACGTTGTTATTGCTTAGAGAAGTTGCATTTTTTTACACTGGAACTTTATTTTGAAGTGAGCCTAAGAATTTTTTTTTCATTTTTAAAAGTATGAGATTATGACTGATGGGGTGCAAAAGTGATTACTTTTTGGCCTCAGTTAGGACCAAACTTATTTCCATTTTATTTTATTTCCAATTTATTTCCAAACTAGCATGGACTAATGTGAATGTTTTGATCAGTCCTCATTCATCAGTTAGCTTTCGGTACACTCCAGACTGGTGTTGAAATGAAGCGAATGCAGCTTGGTTGACGATAAGAAGCCAAAACGTAAATCATTCATATAACCCTTTATCTGAAATTCTTGAAGTTTTGACTTGAATTGACGTGAAACTTTTCAAAGGAATAAAAAGTCCATCCTTGGGAATTACGTGTTTCACACTCCATACTGGTGCAGAAATAAAACTAGATAAAGGTTTTTCGGGCATTAACAAACCAAAAGTTAAAAACTAAAAATCGTTGGGCAAATACACTTTTTAAATCGTTTATATAACACTTCAAAAGACATAAGCAAAAGTACAGAAATTTAAGGTTTTTCCTCTGAACTGCTTTTATTCTAGCTGGAAATTCTCAACTTTGTTAAAAATTTAATGCATTCTGGACCAAAGATGCCTCCCAACATGCCGAAAAAGATTCGAGATCTAGCGCAATACCAGGTTCTTGAACTAACGAAACTGGACCATATAGATATAAAAAGCTTCCCAAAGCTGAGATAACCATACGTGAAAGTTTTGAAACTTGTCAGAATGGGGACGGATAAAGTTGCTCAATATAGCCTCGCAGGATTAAGCCAATTTCCTTTGGTAACAATATTAAAAAGTTCAAGAGCTTCTAATTTGCAAGCGTTTTCAAGCTAAATGGACGTGTTGATTGATGGTTCGACACAAATTTTGCTCCGACTTCTCACGCCTCCGTAACATGAGCATTGTTTGGCCCATTTTTCAAAAAAATTCGAAAAACACCGTGGCAAATGAAAAGTGCTTAAGTTCTGAGCACATAAAATATGTATGGATTTGCATGCATTAAAAAGAAATTACGTGACGGTCGATTGCGAGAAAAGTTCGTTTAATGTTCGAAACGAGAAACAAAAGCAAAGTTGCAGTTAATCAAGGTCTCTGGTTCGTACGAGCTGAGTTTTACAGAGCGCTGCTTTAAAATTTCACTAATTTCGCTGGTTCAGTAATTTGAAAGTAATTACATCCAACTATGGCATGGGCTTCGCATGCTTGAGCCTCCGCATTGTTTTGTGGCAAATTGAAAAAGTTTTGTCCTCGATTCCACTTCGGGATTATTGATACTCGCTCGATGATCGGAATCCTGGTCAATTCATGTATGTTTTGTTTTGTGACGGAAGCTCGCAGCTCTCTAATCATACAAACCCCATAAAACAACAAATAATAATAGCAAGAACTAAATTAGGTTTCCTCTAATTCAAAGCTGTATGTTACATGATAGTGTCTTTATTTTTTTTTAAATACCGTAGAGTTTGGCAACGTTAATATTGTAACTTGCAACTTGTAAATTTACTAAAGTGAAAAACCAATATTGAGAATTCTTTTAATGACTCTTGTTCGCTTTACAGCAAAAAATCAGACCTTCAAATAGGAGGTTTTGCAAAATTATATGGAACAGAAGCTCCAAACGCGTTGTTTCCTGGAGTTCATCCATAATTAAAATTGATTAACAGAATAATTGACAAATTGCGTGATTTATAAGAACTTTCAGACAATCTTTCGTAACATTGGTTTATAATGCCAGATTTTCGCGTTCCATAAATCCTCGAAACTCTTGCATTTATTACTTGAATCAACGACTGGTTGATAGTAATGAATTCAGTTCACACAAATAGTGAAACATTAGAGAATAGTTGCTAGAGAAAAATGTTCAAAAATTAACATGTCGGATAAATTTAGCACTCATTCGCTCCCTTTTAACGCGGAGGAATTAGTGCCTAAAGTGTTTCGGAATAATGTATTTGAGGTATTAAATAATGGTTCTCGCCACCGCTTTTAATGTGGCATTTTTGCATAGGGAGCACTCATTTAGAACGTGCGCTATATTAGTGAAAATGGATATGCTTTAATGCAACGTAAATGGAAAATTAAGGCCTGTTGGCATAAAGAACAACCTGAATTTATTTCCTTTAAAGAGTTTATAAAGTCAAATGTTTCTGCGCTAGCTACATAGCAGAAAATTTCAGGAAATATTACACAAATTCTAGTTTATATTATAATTACTGAATTTTATATTATATGGGATGAATCATTTTAGTTAAAAGCACACGTTTTTGCGTCGCATATAAATTCAGACTAAACTCGGTTTTCTGTTTTCCAGGCAGCCATTTTGTGACCCACACCGAACCTTTCCAAACACGTAAGTACACAAAAGCAATTGTTGTGCATTTGAAAAAGATGCTGAATATGAATTAGTCCTGTGTAAAAACACCGATCAATTTATCAAACAATCTGTTGCTTTGCAACAAACAACAACCCCAAGTCAAAATTATCCTAAAAGAACACGATGAATAGAGAATGTATTTTCATTTCCCGAGGCAAAACCGCTCAAGCAACATGTTTTCCCTGCTAACAGGCACAAATGTTTTTCGGTTGATCTTAGAAAAATACTTACTTTTTTTCCAATTGTCCTTTGATGGTGTATTCACTGTACCTTTTGGGTTGCTTTGTCCGATTTGAGAAGGCATCCTTTCAACATTTCATTGATTTCTGGATCTCATTACGGGCACAAAACAGCTTAAAAGCTCCATTTTAAAAACATAAATAGATTTGTCGGAAACGGAAGCATAACATGAGACAACAGCTTAATCAGATACTGGATTAAAACGTGAAGGCCTGATTTTTGGACTAACATTAATCTTTCGAGCTGTAATATTCTGTTCTTAAATTCGCCCCCCTTTTCGTTGTGAATAAATTAGCTCAAGGGTTTAATAAGCTCGTTAAAAATTAAGAAGATTTATATAGGTAGACGCAGTAAAGCAGGGAATTTATCTTTTGAAGACTGAATATATTCCTAAAGTTTAAGGACTGCAAAATAATTTTTCGCGTTGCACATGATCGAGATAGTTGGACAGTGAAGATTGTTATTATTTTAGGATAACTTTTGTGCTGTGAATCGGCCCATTATCTTGAGCATAAATTGAAAACAACTCTTCCATATTTTCAATTTAAGATCCCTTCCGTTTGATATATTCGACGGAATTACTCTGCTTAGGTTTGCCAAGGATTAATCGTTTACTGTTTCGAGTGTCACTCCATTATTTCTCGTTTAAATTGTGTTATCCTTCGTTCTTGCTTCAGAATATTTTTCTTACGTTCTTTCCGTGTTATTCTATTCGCTGCCGAAGCTCGATTAAAGCCGCCAAAATCGAGTTTCCGCTCAAAATAAATCGTTTTCAAAGATTAATTAATGATAAGTAACATGATAATAACAAACGGTGTAAATAAACGATCAGGATCGAGATAATTAATAAGGACTAAGAGTTTTAACTTAATTCCTTAAATATACAATTCCCCAGTTTTCAAACTGATTTATAGTACGCCCTTACCCGTTTATTCGGACGGGCAAATTTTCACAATGATGAACATTATTCTTCGTTACTGGGGAATTCTAATTTCCAATTTCGCTGCCTCCGTTCTGCATAAATTAACTCAGAAATTTAATAAGCTTATAGGAAAACAAACAGCCTCTGAGATTGCGGCATGGCGGTCTCGCACTCGCACCTTCTTATTAAATGCCAATCGGAAATATTTGCTTTTGCCTAAAATGGCACTCGCTTTGATCTGATGTATGTTGAATGAACAAAACGCTTCTGAACACTAAAAGTTTCAATTTTAGGTGGTTAATTAATTCAAAATTGGCAATCATTATGAAAACTATTCAAATATTTACCAAATCAAAAATGGATGTGGCAAATGTAAAACAGCCATCCTTCGTGCCGTCGCTGTCGTCCTGTGCGCAAATATACAGTTCGAAAATTCGCTCTACTATTATTTGCTCCATCTATAATGAAATCTTGATTGACGCAGGCAAATATAGCTTGGGTTTGCAATAAAAAATTCGGCCTGTCCAATGAAATGCCGACAATTATCTATTAACACCGGTTTCGATTTGGCCGTGCGCTTCGTCACCATAGGGGCCAATATATTGGCGAACTTTTATAGAACAATTCCGATGCACACCGTCCAATGCAAAAAGCCCATCACTGCGAAAACATTGAAATTAGAAAATGTTTTCCTCCCAGGTCAGGTATTCGAAAGTTTGCGAGTGTTCCGTTCCGAGAATATTGCAGGTCTCATTTCCATCCAACTTCCATTATTGGGGTGAAAGTTATGAAAGTTTAAGATGGAGAAAAATTCCGAGATTTATACGATGCTGGGATATCGTGCGATAACGCGTCTGAAATTTCCAACTGAAAGAGTTCAGATTTCGAGTGAGAATTGTCAGTGTGGATGATCAATTCGCTTTGATCTATTCAATTATTGATGTACGATGAAAAATTACTAGCTTCTCAGATAGAATTGATGAAAAATTGTTTTTGGGCCTTCCGTTTGAAACTCACTCTATACACCTTCCAGGCTGAAAGAATGTAAATTTAGGTCGCTGCCCAACTGGAAGCTTATCAATTTTAAATCTAAATGACTCTCCGGGAGTGCAGACTATGCAATACTAGGTGAATGTGGTACGGTAATAACTAGGCCATTTCCTTGTGCAATATGAAGAGCAGCTACTAGCCACATTTCTATTGCCAGCATTGGACTGTTTTACGACCAGAACATGTGGAAGCATAGAATTGCCAATTAAGGGTGCTTTATTCCGCATAGATAAAATGGCTGAATGTTGGGCTCACTTTAGATGTAATCGATGCTGTTTTTCGTGGGCGCATTTAAATAAATGCCGTAAATAATGAAGCGTTTAAATGGCACTTAACCGCGATGAACCCCGCAATAATAATTACGTTTCGGAAACGGTTAAAAGAGACATAAGTTAACCGGCAAAGTTTCCAGCAACTGTTTATATTTCCACACGCTGGAAGCATTAATAAATGAAAGATAAGCAAAAGCCGGAACACGTACCATAGAGACCACACCACAATTCTTAAAGTTTCGCGAAAGTTCCCTTTAGCGAGACTACTCGCTAACTGAGTTTTAATGGTTGAGTAAATATACGATAAGTAAGTTTTCGTCTTGCCAAAGTCTATACGCTCGAAAGCCTGTCGCCGAAAATTGGTGGAAGAGGAAAATATAAATTCAAATTCAGTGCTGCCGAAAAGGTCGACGTGGTAAGAGGGGTTAATTGTATCAACCAATAACTATGAGAAATTACCTTTTGCTCGCATAATTTCCAGATTTATATTGCAACGACGGTATGAACATTTGATCAGAAGATCCGCAAACATTTATCCGGAAGGCGAGAAGAGCAATAGGTACTCTAAAGCCGTTCAGCCACCTATCGAGTATCACATCCATGGGAGCTTCGAAGCTACATCCGAATCCAGAAGCGTTTGCTTTATTGTGTCCGTCCAATTATTATTAGAGGCGACATCCGGCATTATCTTCCACTAATGAATTACGTGATGTTCTCGATTCTGTGAGCTTTGATGTGTGGGCTTTGAAAGTTAGAGGATCGACCGTTTCCGACCGGCAAATCCTGACCGGATAAGCCGTTTTTAATAATGTGGGATTTTCGAGGATTGCAAATAGTCGGCAGGCTTCTCAAAACATTCGTCTTCCGAAACCTTCGTGGTTTTCCTCGGACAATAACCACTAGGACCATTTCGGATAGTTAATAAATCGCCTAATTCCAGATCTCTGCTGATCAAATCAATGGATCAAACCCCATAAATACAAGCGATTGAATTAGCAGATAACGGCCCAACTGTATAGTTCTAAGTATTATTTGATATCCAGCATAGTGCAAATGCGGATATATTCGAATGTTGCCGTGCATTTTGGCAGATATTCGATTATGTGACTGGCATTATCGGAAATTGCAATATTATTTACTTTCATTACTTGCAAGCGCCTAAATTCTAATTGCAATCGCGATTTTACCGTCATTAAACCGAAAAACGATTCAAGCCATGGATTTAACTATTCGAGCAACAGATCGGATGGTTGGATGCACTCTGAATTTTGAAATCTTTATTTACTGCAAAATTTTGAAATTTAGGATTTCAGATAGTACAAATACATCGACGGATGTGAAATCTTGTATTGAAAGGTTATTTGAGGAGCCAAACAAAACCCCACGACCCACAAGTCCGCCAAGAATAATTTCACAAATGCCGAAAAACTATTTTATAGTGTAAATTGTCATCTTCAATTTGTCCTTTATACAATGTAAACAATCAGTAATATTAAGGATCAGCCGTTAGCTGCAATTTTCACATCTTCTGACTTGTGGGGTTTTGTGCCTCTTTAATATTTTGGGCTTTCACGCGGGGTTAATAATGGTTTGGCCCAGAAAGCGTCCAATATAAATGCCATAAACACTTATTTTGGGACACTCGCAGATTTAAGTTCTGTTTTTGAATTCCCTACTTATTTCGATTCCGGATGTTTTTCGGTGCCAACTGCTTAGTTCATTTTAAGAGGCGATTCTTCACCAACAGCACGTTTCTGTGTTGAACTCTTGGTTTTCTCACTCTAATTTTCCACAAGCAATCAATTACTTTATCAGCTGTTCATATTCACACAACTCGGTTTCAGTTTTTATATTATACGTTTCAACTGTTGTTGCAAAAATGTCCCTAAGTTTAAATCGAATGCAATATTTTTTTTCACAAACGAACATTTTCTACCATACAAAAAAACACTTTCACTAATAACGTCAATCATTCCCTACAGAAAAGAAAACGAACTAAATAGCTCAAACTGTGTGAATTTCTGAAACAGTGCCTTAACAGCACATTTCCCGAATGGAAAAATAAATTCCATACAAAGCCATAGTTGGAGTAAATTTTTTACCTCGAACAGTGAAGAGCTAGACAATTACGGTTACGTTTTATCTAGGTTTTCGACGACGTGGTTTCCAAGGGTTTATCCCGGGTACTAAAAGGCAGCCGAGCCATGTAAAGTTGTTTTTCTCATTAAATTTATTGCACCTAAAACAGAGGAGATAATAAAGCGCTAACGGCAGCCTCAAGAATCTCGGCGGGGGCAATTTATTAAAGTGTCGCGAAAACGAAAAATGTTGACGGGCTCATTTTGTTCGCGGATAAGATAATGCTAAATAAGCAATTTATTGAAAAATTGCATCATTAAAGCTAGACTTTATTAACGCTTCGTAGAAGATGAATTTCGAGGAAGAAACGGGAAATTTCCTCTCATTTCTGTGTATAAGTAGCATCACATTTA